CTCCCAGTATGTGCTTTATATCGCACCGGATACCTCTACTACAGGTATCATTCTTATCTAAGAACAGATGGAGAGCACAGTAGTGCTCCTCGGATGGTTCTGCTCTGTTTACTCCTGAAAGCACAGATAGCATATGCTGCTATCATATTCTCTTATCAAAATCTATATTTTGAAAAATAACTAGTCGAGGCTTTTGAAACAATGAAAGAATGTGGAGTGTGGTGACCTTTTCAATAGACAGAGATTTAGGAGAAGCCATTATAGGTAGTTATCTTTTTTGCCTATATATATATATATATATATATATATATTTATGTGTGTGTGTGTGTATGTGTGTGTGTTAACATTATTGCATTAACACGTGGTTAATTCTAAATCTTTAATGCATTAATATAAATAATAAAAATACAATATTTAATAAAAAGAATGCAAATATATTACTGAACAGAGTTAGATGACCTTGGAAGTTGGGAATTTATCACACTTATTACCGTTGGCACTGTAGGCCGAAATGATTTGATTACTGCAATTTGAAAAACTGGTAAATACTGTCAACCATTAAGCAAAGTCAACAAAAATATCACACAGGCACCAAAGCAAAATTGACTGTTCATTTAAAGGGGTCATATAATGGTACATGCACTTTTACAAGTTAATTGTACTGAAATGTGTGTTGGCAGTGCCTGTACACAACCATCATAATGATAAAAATCCATCCAGTGGTTTTGTTTTAATCTCCTTATGTTTTCCCCTGCCTCAAATCAAGCCGTTCGACCGTGTGACGTCACACGCCCCTCCCGCGATTGTTGATTGACAGGCGCGTTTCAACACAGACCCGCCCTCGCTCGTGAGCCAGCTGTCAATCATAGTCTGCGCGGACCGGCGCGGTCATTGTTGATATGCTGGAGCACTGTCTATGAGCAGAATGGCGTTTAAGCGATTGTGGTGTTCTGTTCTTGGGTGTAATAACGAACACAGTCATTTTAATGTTCCTAAATCCGAACCGCTGAAGACGCAGTGGCTGAGTTTGTTTTCGAAGGGAATATTCCCCACGAGCAACGTCAATGCTTTCATGTTTGCGCGAATCATTTCTCAGTGGACTGCTTTATAAAGGAGGGTCAGTATAAAGCTGGTTTTGCTGAGAAGCTGCACCTGAATAAAGGATCGGAACCTATTCGTGTTCCTGCTGAACCTTCAGAAGAACTAAAGTGAGTGTAACGTTTTATTAATCTTTATATTAATATTTATATTAATCTTTGCAAATCGCTAGCTGCACGCTTCACGATGAATGCGTCGGTTTACACTCAGGGTACTCATGTTTTCTATGTACAACGTTCTCAATATAATTCATAATCCCACGTTTATAATGAACAACGCGTTATGGTTATTGTGTTATTGTGTTACAAACGGTGTACGCACAGAACAGAGAGGCGGGGTGAGCAAAGCTCATTATCATTTAAAGTCATATGCACTGAAACGGCGTGCTGAAAACAGAGCTGTTTTTGACCAGGTAAAATAAGTGTTTTCTTACAATACTAATGAGAATTTTGAATTAAAGTATATTACAAACTTTTAATTTAGACCCTAAAGAATCATATTAGCTTGTACAAAAATGGCATTATATGACCCCTTTAAAATCCGGCCATTGTTGTTAATGTTAGAATTTTAATGTTTATGCAATCAAAGCACAGAAATCAATTGCACAGAAATATCTAGCAACTCCTGCTTCAACTGTGCCATGTGAGAGACTATTTTCACTCACACATGCACAAGAAGAGGGCTTCTCTGGCACCTGTTCTCTTAGCAAACTTGTATGTCTTAGCAGCTGGTTAAATGTTGACTAGAAAGATAAGCTGACCTGAAATGTCAGAATAAGTTGTGCTTGTAGAATAAGTTAGTTTTGGAAATTCGAAGGAAGTGTTGAATCTGATGCTGGATTTAGCATATAATGACAAAATAAATGTGTTAAACAAGATAAATGGTGTATGCTCAATTTTATGATAAGTGTGGGAGCACTATGATCTGCCAGAACATGGAAGCATATTTACTGCATAAATGACATTTCAAACCGCACATCGACCATTGCTTTGTTTTTCAAACTGGTTGGTGATGTAACGATCAGAGAAAGCAATTTTCCAGCACCTCATCATATAAAGAGGGACTAAAATCAGTTAGACTTCAGTGTGCTCACAAAAGCCATGTCTAATAGATCCTTAATCAAGGGTTTTACTTATTGTCTGTTAATTAGAGCAGCCATCAAATGGCCCATGTGATTACATCTTTGATTAAAAATTGCCCGCTCAGGCCTAAGTTTGGAGAGTTTGTCATGAAAGAGTCTCCAAGGAAACAAATATACACAATAATATATATATATTATACACAACATTTTTACTTTGTAAAGCGTCAGTGAACCCCCAGGCCCGGTAATGGTTGTCCCGCAGGACAAGGTCCTCTAGTCTATGGTAAAAACCTACTCATTAGCCAAAACCTTCCATACTTTTATTCCAGGCCACGTTACTATTGCCCCTGAAACAAGTTGATCTAATTGGTATCTATTTACTAGTAGCTAAGGGCCACATATGGATATTTACATGCATGCACTTTACATTAATCTCCTTTTAATTTTATTTTAATTTGATGCACTATCCTAAACATTTGTTACAAAGATGCAAGCAGATAAAATGCTATTTGCAATCTCTGACTTGTGTATCAGAAAGTACGATGCCCGTGTGCAACGATTCCCCACCGCCTCCGTCTACAAAAAGATGTGGGAGGACAAACTCCCTGGTTGTGTGATTAACTCTGGGTTAAAAAAAATGTCATCATCTGCATTGGAGATGTTGTGCTGTGCATGGTATAAAGTAGACTGAAGCAATGAATGCAGATCAGACGAATGGATCCGAATCACAATGCCTCCATTCAAGGCGATAACCTATACATTCATTTAAAGATCCTTACTGTACAGTGGATGCTCAAGGCGACTGCATTTGAAATGCATGTGCTATAGGGGTGCTGTAGAACATCTTAGACGGCAACAGGGTGATTTAAGGGAGATTGAGAACAGCCAGATGCAAGACTGCCTGTGGCTATCCGTCCAGGACGTGCCTTGTGTCCAAAAAATACGCATGCCAAGCTGGAGCACAGATTTCCTGTTGCTGATGATGCACACATGCGTTGGTTCTCCAACCGCGACATCAGCAACAGGAATTATGTGCAGTGCTTCAGGTTGACATGACTATTTATTCAACTACCTACGTGCTTGTTATCCATTTCCCCTCCATTTCTGCTCCTTCTGACGCATATTCTCTCACTCTGGCGCATATTCTCTCAACTTGAATGTGGATAGGCATGCAATAAAACGACTCAAATTTAAATGTATGAACAAACTAGATGAGGTTGATTTGACAAATATTACAACTTACCGTTTCAACGTAAGTCATTCCGGTTGATAAAGCGACATGTATTCCGTTCATCTACAGCGCAGTGCTCCAGCGGGAAGCGCGCGCCACGCAAATGAAAATACGCGCGCGTGTTCTTCTTTTAACGCAGATGGAGAAATAACAGCGGTCCTAACGTTGATATTTTGCCGTGCAAATGAGGCAAAATCCAGCAGGTGAGAGCCGTCTGGAAGCTTTTTAGAGTCCCTCGCGCTGACAACCTCCTCCTTCCTCCGCTTTCAGAAGCGCATCTGCAGCCGCTCGTTCGGTTGTCACATTGACATGCCGCTGTCTCTCTGCCCAGCGGTCATTAATATCGGAACAGCCCCCGAGTCTCCAGAGAACAACCAATAGCGGCGGGGCGGAGAGAAACTCTCGCACCTGATTGGCTAAACAGCAACGTCTGTCAGACAGGAACCGTTGGAGAAATAAAGAGAGACAGAAGAAAATGGATATGCTGGGATTAATTTCTGATTGCGTAGTGTGTTGGGTTGTCTTTTGGGGACATTGTGTATAAAAGTAACAGGGAGTAGGCTATGAGAAAGTTTCTACAGTAAATAACTCAAGTTTAGTTTGGTTACAACATAATATACGGTTAGTTTTTAGTTAGTCACACACACAATTAGCCTACAATAACTTAGCCTACAACTGAATGGGCTCTATGCACGTCGGTATTTCCGGTGAAGGTCTAAGGATGCTGGATTAGCCTACTTCCGCCGATCATAGAGTCCAATGCTATACCGAGAATTTATATTGGTTTTTATACTCTATTGCTAAAGAAACGTTAGTCACAAAAACAGACAAAGCAGACACCCCTCATTTTGTTTGTGCTTCTTTGTTTGTTATATTAAATAAACATAACTATATATAAAATTACATCTAAACGTATTAAAGTTTCGTTTCAAAGACGAGAGGACAGTAAATTTTGAAGACTCTGCCATAATCCCGTTTTCCTCGGTTTTCCTCCGCTTTAAATCTCCCCAACCGGAAACGCAAGAGCATCCTTGCGTCAAACGCGGAAGTTATGCGTGCATACAGCCCATTGTTTCACAGACTCTGAGGATGCGTTTTAACGGTCATCAGCGTCGTAAATCCTGCAAAGTTTTTAATATTTTTAATTTTTAAGTAGGCTATTTATAACACTATAGGCCTACATTGTATTATATTGCCTTTACAAATAATAATAATAATAAAAAATAGTTAACGCTGCTGTGAGGGTGTTTCTAAAACAGCGGCTGTGGTGCCGGTAAAATTGATATCTTTCTCTCTTCCGACTGCCTTCCGATATTTAATGTAGTCTCTCATTCACCACTATCCACCTTATTTTTCAGGTAAGAGCGGGTGTGGCCATTTGTAATTTTAATGTGTCTGGCTTCCGGTGTCATTTGCTTCCAGTTATTTTTAGCTGTAAAAAACAGCTTGTTATGCTGCTTTATATTGCAAATAAGGTGGACAGAAGTTTTTACCCAATTATGAGCACTCTTTACTTGCACTCTTTACTTGTATGCTATTGCTTAAATAATGGCTGTGTTTTTTTTAAATATATATTTTATATCATTGCAGATGAGGTGTAGTGGCTTGACTTTAGGACCAGAACTGCCCAACAACCAGTGTTTTGGGAAGAAAATAATCAAGAAGCAGAAGGTACACTTTCCATTCATCCAATCCTTTCATTGTTTCAGGGACTTTGACAGAAGTACGTCCTCTTTGCTGTGAGCTGACCCTGTTTTCAGGGATGAATTCACTGTGAAGGTGCTTCCCTGAAGCCTATGCCCAGGTTGTTCACAGCTCACCCTCGGGACTGCACACACCTTGAGAAAACAGGGATATAACTCATAAAAGACTCCCGATAGGGTCGGAAACTGGTCCATTTTTCCACATCTGGCATCAAGAGACTGCTCTGCCAAAGAAAAATGTGCATGTACTACGAAAGCATAAATCTGGGTTTTGGTTGAGGTCAGCAAGTACCGTGTTTTTCATCAGTCCATGCCCCTGTTTATGAAAAATTTAGAGGAATATTCGGAAGTTGTGAGGTGGTTTCTTCGTGGCATTTCACAGCATCTGTTTTCTGACAAGGACTTGGAGGCAGTGCAGGTTATTGACTGGAGTTCCACAGTTATAAATATTTGTACAAAAAATCTTAGAGAACATGCTCTTGCAGCCTCTTTCAAAGACATAGTCTGTAAAGTTTTCTGAAGAGTCTTTAACAAAAGTAATTTTAAAGCTACATTCTGAAACCACCATTATTATGGCCAATATAGTGCTTGCACAGTTGTAAGTATTATTAAATGGTTCTGATTTTAATTTCTGGTTAATAATAATGTCAGATTTTATTCAAAGCGTGTCAGCAATAAACTGCCCACTGCCGGGCTAATGAACTAAACTACTCTTCTGCCAAGTAATAATCTACGGAAGTCCTAAAAGAAGATAAGCGAATTAATTTTTGCTTTGATCAGGGACTCACCCAAGCTGAAATAGCTCTATATCCGTCAGTGATGGACTGTTTCTGAATCAGTGTCCGAAGCGGCCTACAACTTTCACAGACACTACACTGACTCTGAACATGTGGTCAGTTTCATTGCCAACCAACTCATGTGGTAAGCGAATGATGAGATGTTGTTTTCTCATGAAAAAAATGCTGTTTTATACAAAAAAAACATGGGTAAAAGCAATATTACATTGATAAATCATATATAACATAAGCCAGTGACATAACAATCCCATTTCTCAATAGTCACTGCATCAGCACATTGCTTTTCAGGTCGGTGGAGTTGCTGGACAAGCGACTCCCCGTGACATAACGTGATAGTGGCATACCTGCAGAGATGTGCGAGTTTCCTGGGAATACGTCTCAAACGGTAGAGTTTTTGCAGGATGTGCCTACAGCATACCTGTCAACACTCCCGTTTTTCCCGGGTTTCTCACGTTTTTTAGCCCTATCTCCCGGACCCCTCCCGGTTTGTTATTTTTCCCGGGAAACTCCCGTAATTTGCTTGGCCCAAACTCCTTTATGAATAATCGGACCAATGTTTGTCTAATGTTGACCAGTTGCCAGATATTGTATTAAATGCATTATATTCACACAATCCACAGACCATTTACAATTTGAACCCGTTTGTCACCTCAACCTGGCAACCTATAACCCAGTTGCGCAGTCGCGGAAAGTTTAACCCGAAAGCGAGCCGATAGACATGATGGCAGGTGAAGGTGGTGTCCCCGCAATGAAACTGAAGTACAGTACTGCTTCAGGAAGATTAGGGATAGCTCACAACTGAAGTTATTGCATGCAGAGGCCAGACAGACACACGGAGGCGATTGGCATCTCACAACTCGGACTTTATTCCCAAATCGAACTCGTGTAGCCTAACTGTCTGTCACACGTTCTACTGTCCACATCGTTACTTAATAAACAAAATAAGATAAAAATTAGCATCAAACAGAAATTACCCGCATACATGGGGTGTTCGCATAGACAGTAAAAGGGGAGTTAAGGCCCAAGGCACATACAATACAATACTCCGCCGCCGCCGGAGAAATCACCCGGATTTTGAAAACCAAATGTTGACAGGTATGGCCTACAGTGCAGTTAACAGGCCGCCCAGGTGGGGGTTGTTTATAGTTAAGACTGATGTAGAGACATTCTGCCACCAGCCAACCACACACAACATCTCAGACTCCTCATTAGGCCTCCACACGCCCATGATGTTCAAGTTAGTTTACCAAGGTAAAAAAAAAAGTTATAAATATATACATTTCTTCACAAGAAACTTAGAGAAGATGCTCTTACAGCCTCTGACAAACACATAGAACCTGTAACGTTTTCCGAAGAGCCTTTAACAAAAGTCATTTTAAAGCTGCATGCATATTGATTCTGAAAACACCATTATTAGATGTGTTTGCACTGTTTTAAGTATTAAACGGTTCAGATTTTCATTTCTGATAAATATATAATAATGCTACATTTATTCAGTGCTTTTTAGCAATAAACTGCCTGCCACCAGGCCAATGAACTAAACTACTTTTCTGCCAAGTAATAATCTATGGAAATCATAAAAGAACATGCTTTTTTTTTACTTTGCCACAACTTCATGATCTCGACATGTCATGTCATAAATTCTTTCTTTCTTTCTTTCTTTCTTTCTTTCTTTCTTTCTTTCTTTCTTTCTTTCTTTCTTTCTTTCTTTCTTTCTTTCTTTCTTTCTTTCTTTCTTTCTTTCTTTTCCTTTGTTTGTTTGTTCAGTTGTTCTTTCTTTCGTTTGTTAATTCAGTCTTTTTTTGTGTATTTGTTCTTTCTTTCTTTCTTTCTTTCTTTCATATTTAATTATTTCGTTCATTTGCTCGCTTGTTCTTTCTTTTTCGTTCCTTCTTTCGTTTGTTCATTTGTTTATTCATTGTTTGTTTGTTTTCTTTATTCTTTCTTTTGAATCTTTTGTTTGTTTGTTCTTTTATTCATTGTTGGTTTTGTTCTTTCTTTCTTTTGTTTGTTTGTTCTTTTTCTTTCTTTCGTTTGTTAGTTCGATTGTTCTTTCTTTCATTTGTTAGCTCTTTCTGTCATTTGTTTGTTTGTTCTTTCTTTCTGTTACTTCATATTTATTTATTTAGTTTTTCCTTTAATTCATTTGCACGCTTGATCTTTCTTTCATTTGTTCATTAGTTATCCATTGTTTGTTTGTTTTATTTGTTTCTTTTCTTTCATTTGTTTGATTGTTCTTTCTTTCATTTGTTTTTTGTTTGTTTGTTCTTTCATACTTTCTTTCATTTGTTTATTTGAGTTTCAAACTTTTGTTTGTTCTTTCTTTCTTTCTTTTTCACGAGCCAGGTGGACTGCAAAATTTATTTCAGCTAATAAAGGCTGCATAATTTGTAAGTAAAAGAGTGAGAAAGGGGAGATTTATTAGCCGGTGATTAGAAGCTTGTGTCAGCACACTATGCTTGCAGTTTAGTTTATGTATCTCCGAACGGATGTTCAATGCTCTTTAAAAGTCCTTGTTAAAAGTGCAAACGTCCTGAGAGGCAGTCTATACACATTCAATATTATTAGTATTCTTTCCAGCACCTGTGTAACACCATCTTTTCAAGTTTTGCTCTGAATGCTACAAAAGTTGACTGGATAAAAGGATAGATTTCTTTTTTGTTATACAAAAAAGCAGAGTGAGACTGCAGTTTTAGCCGCAAGATGTGCAAGGGCCTCTCTGAGGAGTTCTGTTGTCTCCCCTGTTTGTTCTGAGTTGTTCTGAGTTCTGAAGTGTGGAGGTTAACGTCTCTCGTCTCAGCCGATCATGAGGCCAGGCTCCAGGAGAGGGTGGCCGCTTCTACCGGAGCTTCCGTTCCAGTGAAATATGACTTCAATGTTGAGAATAGGGTGACATACATAAGAAACTGAGACAGAAAAGAGCATAGATAAGATGGTGTGTGACGACTGATCGAGTCCCACATTTTATTGCATGCATAGACTACAAAAGCTCAATAACAGATTCACGAAAGGCTTTGGCTGTCCATTGTTGAAAACCTTTTTTTATGCGCGTGTGCAATAGATGCAGAATGATTTTTAAATTGAATCCTGGGATTTCCACCCAGGCCCATAGCTTGAAATTCTGGGCCCTTTACCTCTTTTTCAGCCACTTGTAAGGAAGAGATACAGCCTGATGGAATGGTGCATGTTGAATTGTGCTTTGATCAATTGCCCTGTGCAGTTTATGCATGGACGACCCGAGTTCAAATCCAATATTCAATTTTACGATATTGAATATTACTCAGTAGTTCTCTTATCACAGTTCTCTTTTGTCCGTTTCTTTATCCCTAGATGGTTTTCCCATATCTGCTCTTTGATTAGTTCCATTTTCTCTGCTCTTTACTGTTAGCTATGTCCTCTCAGCTCTCTTATATTTCATCTCATTCGTACAGTATGATTCTTTTCTTATAGTTACTTACAGCCATGATCCTGTAGTAAATCAAATGTAAGCTTTATTAAACTAAATAGTTATTTTATCATTTATAAGATTTCTAAATATTTCCTTTTACTACAGTAAATCTGAGAAAATACATTGAGAAATCAAAAGAAATGTTATGTTACCATACACATTCATTCATTCATTCATTCATTCATTCATTCATTCATTCATTCATTCATGGTTAGCTCACTCATTAAGAAATGCTGATTTTTAAACATGCTGGGCCCGGTTCCCCAAAACTTTCTTATCGCTAAGTATTTCTTAACCTATTCCTTAACCTCTCTCTTAACCTTACGGCACGATTCCCGACACGTTCGTACGCTAAGTATATCTTCTGTAAGTCACACTTTCGTAAGGTTGGTCTGGACCATCCGTAAGCTCTCTCTTAGCGTTGTTTGAGCTCAAGACGCTAGTGGCCGCCACTGTGCAGCAGTCTTTTTTTTTTTTTTAGATTCACAGTTTTTTTTATTGATTCACAGAAACTTTCCAGAATACAACACAATACATCTGTTTTTTATCAACATTTTTACTCCGATACTCCCCAACCCCCTCCCTCCCAACTTGATCACCACTTGACTATACAGTTAAGTACAATTAAAGATGACTTCCGGCATACAATAGTGAAGGAAAAGAAAATAATAGCATACATACCTATATCAACACAATTACACAAAGACTGTGCAGCAGTCTTTA